ACACATACAAGGTGTTTAAGGCCCAATGGTCTAAACATTTGTAGTACTCTAAAGTGTAAAAAGTCTGAAAACAGGAATAGCACAATGAAGGATGAGAATCAAGAGAGACAAGATTGTCATAATAGCCATCAAGTAGGACAAGTACATCTATTACATTATTTGTACATGGAAGGACACCTACAAAGAATGAAATAAAAAAGGGAAATTTCATATCTGGAAATCTACTTCTGACGACTTAAGTGTCTTCTCCCAATCAACTTTGAAGATGGCATTTTAACAGTTTTCCAAAACTAAATTGTGGGCCTCTTTCTTTTCAATCGATGCTCTGGAAAAAGACAACCTTCTGTCATCAATAGGAAACAATCCATCCATCTCGCTTTACCTGCAAGGCAATGTATCTCAGAGTTGCCTTCTACTTCCACTTAGTATGCGGGCAAAGAAAGTGTATTAATTTTACATTTAGCTTAAATGAAATATTATTAAAGATAGAGATTACCAAAATGCCAATTTTTTAGATTTTTATGTACCTAAATTTAAGTTTGAGCTCAGCCCCGTATTAGCTAAGGCAAGTTACAGAACCAATTTCTTTAGCCTCTCTCTAAGCTTTAATTTCCTTATCTGAAAAATGGAGTATAACTATGTTGCCTTCTTTGCAGCACTGTCACAAAGATCAGCTGAAACAATACATGTAAGCTGCTCAGTTACATGCTGGGCCCAAGGGTGCACAGTAAATGAAAGCTGTGAAAATTCATAAAATAAGTTGTTCACTTAACCTGATTACAGACAAACTGAAGATAATAAAGAAAATGCAAAATGTTCAATGTACAAGTAGACTTCTCTCAAAGAAGAGATACAACCCTTAAAAAGTTTTTTATTGATCTTTTGTTGTTACTTTTAAGCAAATCATAATTGTCTGATTTCCTTTTCCAACATTCCCATGGAAGGAAAAATTCTCATTAAGGAAAATGTGGCACCAAGTTGTACCTTTCTTTAAGTCACATTTATGAATCCACAAGCAAATCTTTTTAAAAACATAACATATTTAAAGAGGAAAGTGGTAACTTGTTGATGAAACATTAGAATTAAAATTCAAACCACAAAACGGAAATATTGTAAAAGGTTTGAAAATATAGTAAATGCTGTACACAAATTGAAAAAGTTTATAAGTGCCAGGAATCATTTTTGCTTACAGCTATCATCATGTAAAAGGCATGTGTGTGTCACTGAAGCAAATGAAGAGGGTAGTAGAGGAAGATATCGAAGAGGTAAAGTGGGGATCAGATCATACAGGGCCTTACAGGCTCTTATAAGGATACTGGCTTTTGTACCCTGAGGGAAACAAGAAGCCATAGTAGAGATTTGAGAACCCAAGTGACATGACATTGTTCAGGTTTTAAAAGGGTAATGTTTCTGTGTTGAGAATATACTGCAGAGGGTCATGGTGGAAGCAGGGAGACCAATGAGGAACTGTGTTAATCCTAATAGTTCTACCACTATTGTAGCAGCCTAGGTGAGGCTTCAACCAGTATGGGACCAGTGAAGGCGGTAAGAAACGGTCAGCTCTTGTAAGTACCGTACTTTGAAGGAAGAGTGCATGGGTTTCCTAGTCAATTGAATGTGGAATGTGAGAAAGAGAGAGTAGACAAAGACAATTCCAAAGTTTTAGGCCTGAGTAACTGGACAGATGGATATACCATCAACTGAGAAGGGGGAGACACTGGGAGGAGCAGGTTTGGAGGGGAATATCAACAGTTTGGTTTTGGATATGTTACTTTTGAGAAGTCTACTGACCAATCAGAGAGAGATGTCAATTATGAAGTTTGATTATGAAAGTCTAGAGTTCAGACACGAGGACTAAGCTGTAGATAAATTTGAGAATTGTGAGAATAACAGTGGAATGTAAAGCCACAGTACTGGTTGCAATCACAAAAGAAGACAGTGTAGATAGAGAAGAGAACATGTCCAAGGATGGATCCCTGGGCCTCTCCAACATTTAAAGGTTGAGGACATGAAAAGGAATCCGCAAAGAAGATTAAAAAGCAGCAGCCAAAGAGATAGGAGGAAAACCAAATAAAGGGGGAGCAGGGGGCGATTTATGACCAAATGCATCACCTGCCGCTGATAGGTCAGTTAAGATGAGAACTGAAAACTGAACATGGGACTCAGCAGCATAAAGATCTCTGGTGACACTGATAAGAGCCATTTTGATGGAATGGTGGGATGGAAGCCTGGCTAGAGTGAGTTTAAGACAGAAAGTAAGACGAGAGAAATGAGAAGCAGTGAATATAAACAAAATTATTAGGAGGTGTCTTCCTTCAAAGGAGAGTAAAAATACAGTGGTAACAGGCAAGGGAGATAAGGTCATGAAAAAGTTGTAAAGTGAGATAGCACATTTGTATGCTGCTGGGAAGGGCAGAAGAGAGAGGAAAAAATGATTGGAGCAATGTCCTTGAGTAAGTAGGTCTAAAGGAATGGAACCCTGTACACAAATGGAGGGACTGGAAGATGAAAACTTCATCTATGGTGGTGATAGGTAGCAAGACTGCAGATACTCAAACTTAGGTAGATGTGGTGGTGAGAGTCTGTGGAAGTTCTCTTCTGATCACTTCAGGTTACTCAGTAAATTACGCAGCAAGCTCATCAGCAGAGCATAAAGATGGGTAAGAGTTCTGAGGATTGAGCAGCAAAGTAAAGGTGTGAAATAGTCATCTAGAAGCACAGTGGAGGGAATGGAGTAGGGACATAGAAGATGACTGTGTGAAAACAGAAGGGCCTACTTGGGGCTTTGGAAAAGGAATCTGTTTCAGAATCATGAATAGAGCACCACTGGATTAGAACAGGCAAAACCTGGAGGACAGGAGGAAGACCAGATAGGAGGCTACTTTCGTAGCCCACGAGAAAAAGCCAGAGAGAGATACTGCCTAAAGCAGGGCAAGAGCATCTGGAGGACAACTGAGGAAACAGACGTAAAAGTCATTGCAAAAGCAGAACCAATGGGATTTGGAAAGCAATTAGAAGTGACTGAGAAAATGAATGGCGTGGAAGAAGGCCCGTAAGTGTTGAGCTAAAGTGAACTGGAGGGTGGCAATGCCACGATAAACTAAAATAACTATTTCACTACTGCAAAAATTAGTAACCGATTGGTTAGCTGATTAAAGGAGTAAGTATCATTTGAGTGAAGTTTGAGTAAAGAGAAGAAGAGTTTAAAATAAGATTTAAAAGTTTGATTAATGTCAAAGAATGTTTGTTTCTGTCGTCGTTGGTTTGGGGTGATTAAGATAAGACAACCAAGTTGCAAATTGAGGGGAAACTGAAGAAAGAACAGAGCTTTATTTGCTAAAGGAAGGAAATGCAACAAACATTTATAAAATTATTTTCATAGAAAGTTTTATGCCAGGCACTATTCTAGGAATATCATCTCCTCTAATCCTAAAAATAACCATATGAGGTAGACCCTCTTATACCTTTGTTACAGTTATGGAAAATAAAGTGTAGAGAGGATGTATCACCTTCACAGGGTAATGTGATTAATAGCAGAGGCAGAACTCAGCCTCAAGGCTGAATGACCCCAAAGTCCAAGCTCTTAACCACTACACAAACATGCCTTGTAAAATTAAGGGCCTGGAAAAGGGAATATAGGTTGTTTAGCTTCCGAGAAGAGTTTCAGAGCTAAAGATCTCAGAGGTGGAATCATTCCAAAGAGTGACACAGTCCAAGGTGTAGTCATGTCTATAATTAGCTAAATACATGGATGCAAAGGTCAGAGTTCAGGAAACCAAGGAACTAAGGGCAACAATGTGATGGCAAGGTTATCAATGTAATAGCTGAAATCACCAAAACGAATAGCAAGGGGAGGGTCAAAAGGATAGCCAGATGCTATCATCATCATGGTTGGTCAGCAGATAATAGACTTTACAAGAGAAAGGGTTGTTGAAAGATGGTTCAAAGAATTTGACATAGAAGGAGCAGCCGGAAAGAGGGTGTACCATAGGACTAGGAGGAAAGGCTGAAGAGAGTGGGAATGTCAGGACTTGTGACAAGGGAAAAGCTGGATGTCAGCTCTGGCTAGACAGAAGGAACATTAAAGGAAAAGTTTAAAGATAAAGGGAATTTGTATTCATTCAACAACTTTCAATTACTAGTGGGGTTGGGGGCGGGGTGGTAACAAGATGTTCCATAATGGGCAGAGTAGAAGGGTCTAGATTTCCAGTATTCTTAACCTCTTCTTTTGGTATGGGTAAGGAGACCTTTGAAACTCTTGTGGACCTTAACTCAAAATGAATAGAGATTCACAAAAAAAAATTTGCCATGATAAGTGGGACAGAATTAGAAATTAATGAATCATGAATCAGGATCTCCACTTCTCTGATCAAGGAAACCAATCCAAGATGGCCCGATGCCTCATCTCTCCCCTCTCTTGGTATAAACTGCTGAATAATCAAAGTATTATATTTATTATCTAATATAAGAAATAATCTAGATCACAAGCTATAAAATATAAGAAGTATGCTAGAAAATATAGATGGTATGACTGTTGATAATAGAACAAACTTGGAGGAATTCATTCTTCTGTCCCCTCTACTGTTTTGTTTTGTTTTGTTTTTTTACACTCTGTCCTCCCAACTCTATTTCATATACCTAACAAGATGCCTTATATTATTTTCAGAAAAGTGGACTTAGGCCTGTTTTGCTTTATAGAAACAGAAACACAAGTTAGGTAGTTAAAAAAATTGATTCAGTGTGCCACAGACTACTGAATACTAGAGAACAAAAATAAGTAAGACAGCCCCCCCTTTTAGGAGCTCATAGTGGAAGAGACAGACATATTATAGCTCAAAAAGACAGATGCTTTCGAAAACAGTTCTGTTGTATCAACAAGTTTCTGGTCTCTCCTTTATGTGATATAAACACAGTCCATACAAACAGCCCTACTTAGAACCCAGTGCTACTCTGGGCACATGCATTTTAAAATTACAACAAAATCAGGGGGTCTAACTTACCATCATTTTTTCAAAGAGATCCAGTACTTCCTTTTCGGACAAATTCAAAGATCGTTCATCATATAATGGCTGAGCCGCTGGAAACTCACTCATCGCAACTTGAGAATCAATAGGATGTTGGATAAGAGGTTTTTCTTTTTTGACAGTAGATTTTCTAAAACTTGTAATTCGGTCACGCTGCAAACAGAAAAAAACAAGAAGCCCTAAGGAAGAGATCAAGAATCACGAACAAACATGAAGAACTGAAACATCAAAATAGCACTTAGGAATCATTATTGTCTTTTGACAAAATGTTATTTTAAGCAGCAAGCTCCAGTTAGAGATTGTACTATTTTGAAACCTTGAAGTAGCTCTGCAGCCGCAGAAATCTAGGGAGTGAAAAGTATTCCTCAAAAGTAAAACTTAGTCCCTTGTCATTTCTGTTCTGCACAGTAACTAGGTCAGAAAAGTCCGGCCTCAAAGTCGTATAGTGGTTTGAGAGAGAACGTGTCTTTGGCGGCAACTTTCAAACTATGAGAAAAAAAAAAACAAAAGAAAAGAATATCCAATTCTAAGGGGGAAATTATAGTAATGTTTCTCTTCTTCAAAGCACCAAAATAATTGTGACAAGTATCTATGAATACTTTGGCAGTGTAGTAGTAGAATACAGTGGTTAAGAGCATGGACTCTGGAGCCAGACTACCTAGATTTGAATCTGCAATTTACTAGGTCAGTTACCCTGTGCAAATTACTTGGTCTCTCTATGACTGTTTCCTCATCTCTAAAATAGGGATAACAAGTTAATGTATGTAGGAGGAAGGAAGGAAGGAAGGAAGGAAGGAAGGAAGGAAGGAAGGGAGGAAGGAAGGGAGGGAAGGAGGAAGGGGAGACAGAGAAAGCAACAAAGAAACAGTTATTGTGAAATTTAAATAAGTTATATGTTTAGTGTACTTAGCTACTATTTATTACTATTGTTGTTGTTGTTACTATTACTATTATTATTATTACACACCTTTTTCTTCCCTAAAACGTGGGACCAACAAGGAAGCACAACAAAATTAAAAACATTACCTTTTTGCTCTGGAAATATAACATAAACAGAAATATCTTATTCCTACAAATACTACTATGAAGAACTTGCTATTTTATGGATATTGACTTGGAACCATTGATTCCACGTACAATCTCTAATAATTAGCTTGCGATTTCACATAAAGTGAGTTAACGACTCCACTTGCATGTAAATAGGCCATTCTGTTTTAAACCACAGAACACTGGACATCAAAAATTAGTAATAACCATAAAACTGAATACAACTCAGTTTTATTCTGGTTTCTGTTAGGAAGCACATGCATGCATACTGTCAGCTCACGTTAAACAAGCAGATATGTTAGATATCAGGACAGTGCCTCGTCACTGCCACATTACCAAGTCCTTATAAATCACTTCAACAGTATAAAAAGCATCACAGAAGTTCTTACCACAATTATGTCGACTTCTGTTGACCCCCATTAAAAGAACATACTTTTTTTTTTGATTCAAAGAACACTTTTTTTTTCTAAAAGGTGTACTTTGAAAGAAATATGAGCAGTTTTAAGCAGCTTATTTAGGATTCCAAAAATGATCTTAGTACATGGTTGCTTACAAAGAGATTATGTAAATCATAATATTTTAGAGCTGGGAAGAAACTTGAAAAATCATCTAGGCCGACTCTCTCACTTCACAGAAAAAGTGACTCGCTAAATTCACGAGTCCCTGGTTCCTAGCCCAGTGTTCACATAAAGATTCATTTCTTCGAATCACCTTCTATATTTTCATATTTTCTTTTAAATTTGAATGTTTTTGAGGAAAATTAAGTTAGATTAGATATGTAATAACCAACTCAAACAACTCAAGAAAAAACATTAAGCAATCCCAAATAAGCTGAGTACATAACCAAGAGTCAAATTTCACTAAAAGATATGGTGGACACAAAAGCATTTAAATATGCAATCGACCATTAAATCAACATATCTCTGTTCCTTTCCCTTCATATCACTTAATATTTACTTTTGCAGTGCTGGCTTTTTCACTGAGTAGCATTATTTACATATATATTTGATCTTCCACTATGCTCTTCACTTTGATCTAGAAAATTGGCTTTTGCTTTCAGCTATATCTTGATAAGAAAATAAAGTTAAGCCACATACTTTCACTTCCTTAAATCATGAACGATATTCTACATTATTTGTAGACAGGTAATTTCACAAAGAAAAAATACTTAAAATACCACATTTTAAAAGCTTAGCTATAAAAGGGCACATTTAAATTTTAAGCCCATAACTTTTAATAAGTTTTACTACGATAGACTCAGATCAAAAATATTTGAGGATTTTAAATACCACATTTCTAACATAATGTACTTAACTTCCTTTCCATTTTAAATTAATTTCCTTTACTGTTAATATTAATGCTTAACATATTCAGAGTCAATTTACATGGCTATTGAGAAAGGAAACATTTGTGTTTTCCAGAGTTAGATTTATACTGATTTTTTTTAATTAGCTAAGGTATATATCGGGATGGTAACATCAAAATTATTTTGAGAACACATACAATTGCTTATGTTTATATCAAAAAAAGAAAAGCCACTCTATTGACAATTCTTCCATCTACTGTACTTTGTAAACATCTAGACTTTTTATATCTTTACATATATCAATGCTTTAATGTCCACCCACTTTAATAAAAAGGCAACATGCATAAGTAAGTAATAACATGCTAAGTCCACCTTACCACATCATCTGCCAAAGTTTTTATTTGAATGTTCTATTAAAACCAAAAAGGAAAAAAAAATACCTGTCAGGTAAGAGAAATTCATAGATCAAACAAGAAAATAACTGAATGATTCTCATTTTTTTATTTTATCAACTATAATTCTTCAAAGAGAATTAGAAACTTTAAATCTATAAACACATTCTTTACAAAAGAAAAAAACAACTTATTAAGGATTAAAAATGAAGGTTTGGTGAAGGGGGTGTCTCTTCTTTTTTGAAGATAACTCCCAAGTCCCCAAAGTCAGATTTGGAACAGACATCACTACCACAGTGCTCAAACGTGAGAACAGATATAAAAAAGTCATAAGCCCTTTCAAGATTTTTCAAAGTTTTAGAATGAATAATCATATTTTTGAGATACATAAAACTTTTAAAAACATGAACAGGAAAAATGTCACATTTAATAGTAATGACATATAATGAAACAGCTCAGTCTAGAACTCAGTTGCTTCTGATAGATAATTTAACGAACACCTTTATAAATATTCTAGATAACATTGAACTTACTGATTCTGTTAATATATGCCCATTTCTCAAAAACTCCAACACTTTCTTTTTTTTTTGCATGTGGTTTTCTACTTCTAATGTTGAGAATCATTGGAAATGGTATACTCTACTTAATAAAATACAGTGGTTAATAAAAACTACCACATAGAGTACAAACAATACTGGAGTAATAAAGCAATATTAAAGTAAGCAAAGTAACAGCTAACAATTTAGTAATCTTCCAGGATTCAGAAGATACTTCAAGATCTTACAATAACATACAATCAGCACGAAAGCAGTTATTTTTATATCATAAATATGTTGAAATATGTTGTAGTGCTAGTTAAGAGATGTGATTAGGAAAGAACCATATTTTTTTAAATCGCCTGTTAGGAACTGAAATTAACCCTTCTGCCACAACCTGTATATTTATTTCCTACAACAAAACAGAAGCTGAATGATGTACATCATGCATGCTCACATCCCTTTTAACTAAGAAAAATATGGTCGTATCACTGGTGGGGAGAATTCCATTAAGAGTTTTAAGTGAGAATTATTTCGTCACAGGATCTCATAAAACTGTCTTCAAATATCACCAACTAAATGCTGTTAAAGATCATCCTCCCCTCCAGCAGTTGGGACAAATATACTATTATATGTGTAGTTCTTTTTCTACTTTTAATACATCTATTCCCTCAGGGATCTACACTTCTACATTTTTGTACTATGACTTCATCACATCCTGCTGACACAAACCCCAATCAATCTTTACTGCCTAGAAAAAAGAAAAGAAGGGGGATTACTTATATCAGAACTGAAGCCTTTTTAAGAGAGATCAGTTCACCCTAGGACTATCTCTACCTGGTATTTTCTCTTTAATTTTCCCTGTGGGGTACAGAAAACTGCTCTATGCACAGTGACAAGCTTCATGATTTCCTGTCATGTAAAATCAGAGTGAGAAATGTCAAAGTCTCAAAAGTGCCTCAACTACCCTGCTACCATCCAGATATGTACCTGTCCACCTGTGTTATTTATTAGACAGATTATACAGTTCTTCAAGCAACCCCTGCTTTTCTTTTCTTACCATCCTTTGAGGTTATAAACTCAAGATTGGAAACATATAAATCTTCAAAGTGAATATGTAAATTCGGGGAAAATAAGGTTTTAGTCAAATTCTCTAAGTTAAGGTACACATATGTCTCGAATGCCTTAAGTCTGTATCTCAATTGAATATATGTTGATAGTTTAATCATGGGGGACAGAAACAACAACAACGAAAAAGCATTGCTAGCAATAGTTCCACCTTGTCTTATGGGAAGAGACTTGAGTTTTCTCCTCTTCTCCCACCTCCACTCTCTTTTTTTTTTGAAATTAACATATTTTTGTCCATATTAAATCCCACAGTATGGAGTTAGACACTATTAAATTGGATGAAATTTGAGATAATCTGGTCAAAACCTCTCAATTTACAAATGGTGAAACTGAAGCTTGAAGAGGCTGACTCGCCCACGGACCACAGATCTGGTTGTCACTAGATACTAACTCTTAGTCAACATATGGCCTCTTCAGGTGGTATAATTCGGCTGTAGGATATTAGGGTTGAACTACTGAATTGAAACAGTTCATGGTAACCTCAAATTCACAGATATGCCCCAAGCCCCATCAGTTTCATTTTCCTTTGGGTAACTGCCTTTTGCCATCATTACCAGGGGGTCAAGCATCATCCCGAAGAGCATTCCCCTGGCAACCAAAGTCCTTCCCTAACACGTCTTATGTGTCACCTGCTAAATTCATTTTGACCAATATACACTAATGTTCTTCCAGTGGCTGGTTATTTTTCATATACAAACTATATACAAATTTAGATTCTTTGGTCTTTCATAATTCTTCATTCCTAATTATATCTTACTACTGCCACAATTGTAAGAATCAGAGCTGTTCTCTCAGCTCTCTAGGTGGGTAATAGGAGTGAAAATAGAGTAGGAAAAAGTGGGTATATAATTAATAACCCAGTGGAAACACCACATGAGCACCAAGGGTTGTCACAGAGGGTTAGGACAGACTTACAAAAATAGGGTCATGTTTATGGTAATGGTTACCATCCAATTTTAAGACTTCCATGTCACCTTGGTCTCCTCCCTCTCTTCAATCCCTACAGCCAAAACAGTTGTCAAGTTCCACGGTGATCTTTCTGCAGTTTCTTCTTCATTTCTGCACAAACCATCCCAGTTTAGAGTCTAATCACTGGCAGTAGCCTCCTAATAATTACCTCTGCCACCATTCTCTCCTCATTGCCAAAGTCATCTTCTTCAAGCAAAGATCTGGTTCAAGTCACCATCACATCACCTCTTCCCTAGATTTCTGTAAGAACCTCCTAACCTATCTCCCTTTTTCCACCTTTACCCTGCTATAGTTCATTCTGAACACATTGAGGAAGTGACAGTATTAAAACCCAAGTCAGTTTGCAGCCAATTAAACCAACTATGCTCTTTTCCCCGCGGGGGCCACGTGTGCAATGGCTGCAAACAGCAGCCTCCTCAGTAGTGTATGCAGCCTGTTGCCTGTATGTGTTGCCCTAAGGGACCCTGGAGACAGCCCTTTCCAGTGGACATTCGTGACTGGCATGCTGCCCCCAATCTAGTCTCCAGACAGGTATACGCAGTGCCTTTGGAAAGCCCCAGGGCACAGTGGCCAGGGTCCACATTGGCCATGTCATAATGTCCATCCGCACCAAGCTGCAGAGCGAGGAGCACGTGTTTGAGGCCCTGTGCAGAGCCAAGTTCAAGTTCCCTGGCTGCCAGAAGATCCACATCTCCAAGAAGTGGGGATTTACTAAGTTTAATGCAGGTGAATTTGAAAACATGGCGGCAGATAAGTGGCTCCTGCCGGATGGCTGTGGGGTCAAATACATCCCTAATCGTGGCCCCCTGGACACATGGCGGGCCCTGCACTCATGAGAGCCTTGAGGCTGTCCCCTCTTTACTCACGTGCACCAATAAATCCTACTTTCCTGTCAAAAAAAAAAAAAAACAACAAAGAAAAGAAAAAGCTAAAGAAATCTGAATAAACCATGGATTTTAGTCAGGAAAAAAAAAAAAAACAAGTCAGATCATGTCACTCCTCTGCTCAAAACTTTTCAATGGCACCCTATTTTCACTCCCAGTGAAAGTCAAAATCGTTACAATAACCTGCAAGGCCCTATGGAGCTGCATACTCTTCATATCCCTCTGACCTCATCTCCTACTACAGTTCCTTTCATTCACTCAGCTCTAGTCACAGCAACCACCTCACTGTTCCCCATAAGGCAATAAGCCACATACACTGTCTCTTCCCTCTGCCTGGAATGCTCTTTTCTGTTATCCATATGCTTTCCTCCATCACTCCTCCCCCTTTCAAATTCTTGCTCAGGGAGACCTACTCTGTCCATCCTATTTAAATGGAAACACCCACCTCCTCCACACTCTCCTGACCTGCTTTAGCATGCTCTGCTTTCCTTTTTTCAATAAAACTTACGACATTCTCACATAGTCTATAATTTATTTCTGTCTGTTTCTCCCACTAAAAATGTGAGCTCCATAAGAACCAAGGTTTTCATCTGTTTGTTTCAGGGATGTACCCCTAATGCCTAGATCAGTGTTTGGCACACAGAACTCAATAAAAAATTATAAATGACTATTACTTGCCCATCTGTATTCAATGGCTCCTGATGACCTACAGAATAAAGACTAGTACCCTTAATATGGCATTCAAAGCCCTATATTATTCAGCCCTAGGCTACCTTCTACGTCTTCCCTCAATGATCTGTGCGCTATGGAAAAATGGAAATCCTTTTCCCACCGCATGCCTCATTATGTCCTGTTTGTGCACCCACTCTTCCCTCTACTGGAATGTCAATCTGGCTAGGTACCTTTCTATTTCTAGAGCTGCCCTTGAGTTTAAAGTCTGGTTATTAATAAACCAAATGTGGACCCATGGTCAAAAATGGAGGAGAACTATGCTTTGTTTAGTGTCTTCTTAAAGACTATTTTTTCCTAAAAGGCATCTTTAAGAATGATAGAGCACCTTAAGACAAAGAGGAAATTATATTCATGTAAAAAATTATCCAAATTACTTGTAATAGAGAACCATAAAGAAAAACACTCTGCTTATGATTTCTTGATTTACAAGTTTCATTCAACTACAGACTGGATATCCTATATAACTATGCACATTTGACTGATATGGATATTTTTCTCATAGATTTCCCTCATGTAAAACTCTGCTGTCATAAATATCTTCTTGAGACCATTACTTAGAACTCTACAACTATTCAGAAAAGAGAGACAAATGTGGTCTATTGAAAAGAAAAATCTTTAAGGACATTTGAAGAGATTGAGTTTAGGAGGGGGCCATTTTTGGCCACTGCACATTAAAAATACATTGAAATTATTGTATAAATTACACTTAAATTATCTGCAATAGAAAATAAATTATTTCTGCTGCACAACTGTTTTTATACATTAGTCAAAAAAAGAGAAAGTTACAAAAGGAGAACAATAACAAAAACACCACCAACATGAAAAAAGTTCAGAGAGCTGTAAAGAGCTATCTCTTTGACAAGATTCAATCGCAGTCATTTTTATGTGAATTGACCTGTAAAACATTTTTAAATGGTTGTATTAAGATACAGTCTCATTTATAATGATGTTCTACAGGGACAAGCTCTCAAATTTTATCTGAATGTAATTTATATAGGTGCATGCACCTCTCTCTCTCACACCACTGGCAAGCAGACATTATGGATTTTACTCCTGTGTAAAAACTATAGAGCTACTATGGAGTTAAAACAACAACAAAAAATGACCAAAAAAATGTTTATCAGAGTCACACCCCTGAATTAAAAGCACTGATTAAAGTCATTTTAGTAAGTTTGTATTGCAAATCTAAATCTATAATGGTCATTAGGATGAGGGCATATTACACCAATAAGTATAGTGACCATATATTTTCATTAAAATCAACTCTAGAAAAGCAATACGCTTGTGAATAGTCAAGCAATTAGAGTTTATTAAACTTCATTTATGAACAGTTATATTAAATATAACTTACTACAGTACTCTATGAGTACTGCGTAATTATAAAAGTTTCACTCCAGAGTCTCAACCCCTTAAGAATAAGAGAAATGGATGATTTACTTACAAACTCTAATGCTGAAGTTCTGATTGAAATGCAGGAGCCATTATTGCAAGAAAATTAAGTTTTAGTTTTCTCAATCAGGCAGAAATTAACAAAAACAGCAAGATGTAAAGATTCGACTCTCTTATGGCTAATGTTACATGGTAATACAATGTTTCATAAACATCTTGAAATTACTCCAGTACCACAGAAATTGGACAACTGAATTGCATACAATTCAAAAGTCTCACCACCAACTCAAAAACTTGGCCACACTTCTTCAACTTTGACTATTTTCTTCTCTTTTAGAGAAAGTAAGTTGGCCATCACAATAAAGATGAAGGGTCAATTATTTACCCAGCTTAAATTTCTTAATCTCTAAGTAGGGCAAGGCAATATAATATAGAAAAGCATGTTCAATTCAACTGAACAAATATTTGAGCATCTACTATGCACCTGTTCAGTGCTGGGCACTAGGAATACAACCATAAACAAGATAAGCATGTACCTTACGGAAGCTGTAGTCTAGTCAAAGATCAAATGAATGAAAGAACAATCACAACAGAGGAATTCTGAGAGCACTGTTCGGGTGGTACTCTTATCATAACCTCCATATACTTTCCAAGTAAGAAGGGCCTTCAAGAAAGGTCATCCATCTCAACCAATGATCCAGGGTTTGAAATCTCTAGATGACATCCCTGACCAATACTGATTCAGATCAGCAGCAGTCACAGAAGGAAGTAATTATTCTTCAAAGTGCTGCCTTTCAACTTTTCAGATCCTGGATTCACCCTGAACTTTACAAATCAGTAAGACCAATCAAGACAATTCAAGGCTATTTAACCATCTGGCAACCAAGCTGAACATTCTGTTCAGCTATTCAAATCCCTTTACTATGAAGATTGTTTTAGTTGAGTACCTCTCCGCTGTGTTTCACCAACAAAGGTATATATAATCTGATTTTTAGAACTGAGATCAACGTAGATAGAGGTTTGATTCTAAGAAGACAGGAGGAAAAGAAAAATTGGCTTTCAAAACCATTGAACTATTACTGCTTGTATTTAAAATTACTCTAAAACATTTTTTCATCTCCTTTCTAACAGTAAGGGGCATTTTCAGACACCCACATGTCCTCTTAGGCACTGCATTCTTCCATCACCATTAGCACTTCCGAATAGATGATAGATCAGCTGGCAGTGTGCGAGGCACTGGGATTTAAAGAGACATGGCCCTGACCTCAAAGGGCAAAAGCCTAGTAGTTGAGAAGATGAAGTTACAGGCATTAAGCTCCAATTCTCCACCTTACTTTGCTACTGTGAGCATCTCAAACTGTCCATTTCATCATTTTAATAGAGCAATACTTTTCTATACTTTTCTATTTTTGTAACCAAAAGGACACCATCTCAGAAGCACTGTCAAATCAAAAGCCTCAAATTTGAACCCACCTGAGCTCTTGGCTACTACAAATCATAATTCTTTCTACCATTTTTACAACAAGAAAAAAATTCCTTTTCGGATTTGCTTCTCAAGATACTCTTTCAATATAAAGAACAAAATGTGTATCTACCAGAAATCAAATATGACATCACAGTATAGGGCTTCAGTTTTCTTCATGAAGCAAAAGACCATGTTAGTTCACTGGATAAGTTTCAGAAATCTGTCACAACAAGTTCTTCTCAAGCTTAAATTAATTGTCTTGCCACGAACTTCAATATTTAACTGCCAAGAGGGATGTCTATGATATGGAAATCCAGCAGTCTCTTCTGTGTAACAAGAATGTTCAGCTTGGGCTTCCCTGGTGGCGCAGTGGTTGAGAGTCTGCCTGCCGATGCAGGGGACACGGGTTCGTGCCCCGGTCCGGGAAGATCCCACATGCCGCGGAACGGCTGGGCCCGTTAGCCATGGCCGCTAAGCCTGCACGTCCGGAGCCTGTGCTCCGCAACGGGAGAGGCCACAAGAGTGAGAGGCCCACGTACCACAGAAAAAAAAAAAAGAATGTTCAGCTTAAGGACTAGGGGTGAAGCACTCAAGAAACATACGTTTTAGAAAACAAATTTATGGTTACCAAAGGGGAAAGGTACGGGGTGGGGGAGATAAATTAGGAGTTTGGGGTTAACAAATACAAACTACTATACATAAAATAGATAAGCAACAAGGACCTACTGTACAGCAGAGGGAACTATATTCACTATCTTGTAATAATCTATGCAGGAAAAGAATCTGGAAATGAATACATATATGTATGTATGTATAACTGAATCAGCACAACATTGTAAAGCAACTATACTCCAATAAAAATTAATTAAAAGGAGAGGAAAAAAAACTGAATCACTTTGCTGTACACCAGAAACTAATGCAACACTGTAAATCAACTATACCTCAATCAAAAGAAGTTAATAGAGAAATAAAAATAAAATTTTTAAAGAAATGTATGTTTGCCACT